ACTCTTCAACCTTTGGAGTATATCAAGTTTCATTTCCTGATCAAAAATGTCCCGGCTATGTAAGTTATTCAGTCATACAAACTCAGATTATTATGATGCATATAGCCTGATAACATAGAGTCATCACTGATAGAGGATCACTGCATTGAGGCTTTAACGTTTGGATGGGATGCTGCAATTCCATTTTACTTTGTAATTCTCTTAATAATAATGATTTATCTGGGGTTTTGGAACTGTCGCATAACACTGCATTACAAAAGTGAAGGAGAGCTGGCTATTTTGACAGGAACTGTATCCATAATGAAGTATATTTTCAACTACAGCATAGGACTTATTGTATCTGATGGTTACACTAGTGCAGGAATGATAAAGAATAACTTGCGCTACAACATTGCAATATTATTCGCTTACTTTTCATTCATCTTGGCTGCCTTGTATAGTTTTAAAGTAAGTAAATAATTTTAGAACTCATGCAAGATACATTAAATGACACTTTTATAGGCCCTTCAGCTATTCAGAGACAAAAAAACTCATTCAAGACCAATCAAAAGATCTAGATCGACTGTCAGGAAAAAATATTTAGAATTGAGTGATGAGATTTATGGACTAGAGTGTGAACTGGAAAAGGTATATTAGCTTTAAATAATAATTATTAAAAGTTTTTTTTTACTTTTTGATGTGTAGATGAAAGCCAGTGTAGCTTCTTTGGAAGAATTATAATGTAACCTCCTTTTATCATTGTTATGAAATGTTTTACTCATTTAAATACAAGCAAAATTTTTTATTATGTACAATCTAATGTTTGTATAATTATTTCAAATTTACCCGCCAGACTGGAGAACATCACGTGACCACCTTGTATGGCTTGTGAATGATGATGGCAAAGTCGTTATTACATGTCCTCAAGTCACGAAATCATAGACATGGTAAAGTGGATCTTTCTCCTTCTCTTCTTCAATGTGGCAAAGACCCAGAGCTCCTACCTTAACTGTAGCATAGACACAAGATATCCTCTTCGTTTCGTTGGATTCTTTCCGTGTCTCAACCAATGGGATGGAGTAGGAGACTGTGATAGGCTAACCCTCACTGCAGTGGAAAGAGCTATAGCAGAAATCAACCAAGACACCAACATATTGAGATGTTTTGAAATAGAGATGCTCCCCATTACTGTTAAGGATCCAGTGCAGGTTTGTTGTACTCCAATCAGCTGAATTATAATTTGAATTATCATAATTACAGCAGCAGCATATTCTTGTCTTTACAGCTATCAATTGCATATGTATTGTATAACTGGAACATTAGGCGATCTAAAACTTTGGCGGTTTTGTATAAAATTTGCCTAAATATAATTTTTAACCTTGCTCTTGATTTATGCTTGAATCATAATTCATTTATGTTACAATACTTCAGCAGTTCCTACTTTCATTATATTTCTTTCTACCTGTATCACATACATATTGAAACCTACCCATATTGTATTATTGACAGTTTGTAATATTAGTGGTTTTATTTTTAACTGCCTGTCTGCCAAATTTAATATTCCTTGCCAAATTTTCCAGCTATACGCTTTGGCATTAATTGAAGTGACAACCATACATGTACATGTTTCATATTCTTTTAGAACCCAACTGAAATAATTGAGCTTTTATATAATGAGCACAATAATCTACCTATTCATGGTGTTATTGGACCCTACCATCCTGAAAGTGCTAAAATGTTTGCTTATATTTTTGGACGTAATCTGAGTACATTACAGGTATCAAAAAATAAATTTAATCTTAATAACAATAGCAATAAACAGGTTTCTTATTCAGTGACTAGTATACTAGACAACAGAGAAAGATATCCTTATTTTCACACTACAATTCCAAATGATGAGTATTTTAGTGATGTTATAAGTAAGCTACTGGATTACTTTGATTGGCAGAAAGTGGCCATTTTATCAACAAATGATGACAAAAGTGTATTGGTAAGAAATTCTGAGTTCTTTGTCTCTCTTTCTCCCTCCCTCTCTCTCTCTCTCCCTTCTCTTTCTCTCTCTCTCTCTATCTCCCTCCCCTAGATCTCTCTCCCCCTCTCTCTTTCTTCCTCCCTCTCCCTCTCTCTGTCATATTAAATTGTCTCTTTTAGACTTCAGGGCTGATATACAGAAAGCTTTCGATGAAGAGCAATAATAGTCTAGCAACTCCATTTGATTCTTTTTCTGACTCGGCTGAAGACATTCTCAGCGCTGCAAAGGTACATTACATGTACATACATGTACTAGTAGATATACATGTAAGTACAATTAATGTATGTTAGATACTTGTATTGGCTACATTTTAATTTACAAATTTTTGTTGCAATGTAATCTACACACATGTAATTCATATTTTGGTAAATATTGATGCCAACACAGTGTGAAGTCACGTCCCAACATCTTTGGCTTTGGAAGCATTCAGCCATTATCTTTAAAAGAATATTAGTGTTGTTGTTTAGTTGTTCTGATAATTCATGTACTACTTGGATACATAATGATATGAAGCAGTTTGGCTGGAGTTAGGAAGTAGTTTGGCTGTAAACTAGGAAGATTAAATTCTTATTTTGACTGTTCAATTAAGTGTCGATGAATATATTGTTATGGTGTTAATCAGCATTATGTATTAAGTGTCATAGTAGAAGCCTTACTAGTGTTATGCTGTCTATATTATATGTAAGTTAATGCCAATATTCCTTATGAAATTTACAATTAAAATTCTCATTGATATTACATGCATGTATGTTGTATACATTAACCTTGTATATGCATGTACAAGTGTATTAACTGCATTAAAGTAGGCAGCTCATTCATTAACATTATGTATTGTCTCCGTTTCTCCACAGTTGGGGGACTTCAGAATCTTTATTGCTATTGTGGAGTCTACAAAAGCAAGAGGTTTACTTTGTGAGGTAAGCTATGACTATAATGTAATGGGTATACATCTATAATATAACCTGCTATTGTGGACACTCTAAAATAAGGAGACCTCTATAATGAGGACAGGTAGTATCAGTCCCAATACAATATAAATTGTATTAATGAACCTCTCAAATAAGGACAGGTTTATAATCAGGAGGGTATTATTAGGTCCCAATGTGTCTGGAATAGACAGGTTTAACTGTATTTTCATTATTAATACTTTGTTTATGTAGGCTTATCAAGCAGGCCTTACTACTGCTAAGCATGTATGGATATTGGGTGGTTTGACTGATCCTAATTGGTGGAGAGTAGATGATAATGCTAATGGTAGTACTATACATCATGATTGTACCAACGACCAGATGAAGGAGGCTATTAATTCTATGCTGTTTGTTGACATTGCCTCTAAACTACCCTTCACTGATGTAAGCATGTTTGTATTGTATATTATGGGGAAAATTTTGAGGCTCAATAATTAGTGAAGTTCTTGTATATGTACATGTACATTGTATGTAAAGGTGTATTGAAGGCCTATATAACTCAAAAAATTGAAGTCGGAATCAGCTCAAACTTTCTACACAGCATAAGTACATCAATATGTATCAGAAAATGCAATAAAAATTGGTGATGATTTTGGAGCCATTTTTTGGGAAAAACCATGGGCTATAGCCTTGGGAATTTTTCAATAATTGGCCGTTTTTAAAAAATAGTTGTAACTTTAAAAAATTAAGTTGGAATCAGCTCAAACTTTCTACACAGCATAAGGACATCAATATGTTTCAGAAAATGTAATAAAAATTTTGGTTAATTTTGGAGCCATTTTTCGGAATAAACCATGGGCTATTATAGCCTTTTCATCAGTACAATGACAACAGTATTTTGAGCCTCAATGTTTCTCAATTGCGTACATTAACATGTTATTTACATGTACATGGTTTAGTATATACTTAACCAATATGTTATGTACAATAGGAAAAGTTTGACTTTCTTACTCAAGTCTTTAATAAGACTAATCTAACAGAGACTGAGTTTAATTATTCTCTCTTACATTCAAAAGTATTCAATGCTTATGATGCTGCTAGAATACTTGCTCTAACATGGAATGTGACCATTAATAATTATACCACAGAGGAATTACATAATCTTCTTAATCAATCCTGGAAGATTTCAAATGAAGAGAGGCACAATCTAGTAGAAACACTTCAATACAATTTAATTAATAATATCAGCCCATACACTGGATTAGCTGTGAGATGATACATGTTTGTGTATTTTATTATTATTCATTTTATAATAGGGGAAATATGATTTTAATGATACACAAGGTATTCTTGGATCTGCTACCATTACTCAGTTCATAGGTACAGTGTATGCACTAGTGTATTGTAAATTATTAATGTATATGTATGTAGTTTAATTATGTGTCTGTTGTTCTTTGAGTCATAATAATGTTGACCAATTACTTGTACGGTGTGCTACATCTATATTTTGTTAATTAGTGGGCAAATTTTTTGCTGTGTAGGCATGTGCGAATGGCAGATTTTATTGTTATTGAAATTCCATATTTAAAATGCCAAGAGCCTCCCAAAAATACCAGCTACGTGTATATAGTAACCGTGATTACACAAACCAAAATGACATCGTACATACTGTATAGCGGGTATATTTTGTCTGGAAAAATGCTCGTTCTAAGCAGGATCAAAAATTTTAATTCGTTTTATTCATTAAGGAAACGCCTAGCTTTTTTATTTGGAAAGTATTTGTTCCACAAGGAATGAGAACGAAAAGAACAAAATTAAACTCTGACAGAATGAATATGCCTGCTGTACGATATGGCATATGATACAGTAAAACTATACATTGTACTTTATTGCTCAGATCTTGTATTCCTACACTTTACTGCTTGCCAGTATGTACTGTACTACTCTAGACACGTTATAGATAAGCTACAGTTGTATCATGTGAAGCCATAAGATGAAAGGCACCGCGTTGGGTTTATATCTGGTAGACGACACATCCAGTGCAATGTACATACATGTATTTACCAGGATGTGACATCACTGTGATTAAAGGCACCGACAGTTCAATACAGTCAAACCTGCTATTGTGGACAGTCTAAAATAAGGAGGCTTCTATAATGAGGACAGGTAGTATCAGTCCCAATACAATAGTAATGTGTATTAATGAACCTCTGAAATAAGGACACCTCTTTAATAAGGACAGTTTTATTGGGTCCCAAGGTGTCCGGAATAGACAGGTTTGACTGTATATATATTTCACCAGAAGTAATGCATGGTTCAGTTGTGAAGCAATGATAACAAAAGGTCATTTGTAAAAATAGCAAAATATTTTATTAATAAAAGATTTTGTAAATAAACTGATATAATAGTAGTCTTTATTCCTGCATGGATTAATTGAATTGCATGCCCATTATATTCCAGAATGATTTCAGTCATTGCAACGACCTTTTATCAACAAGTGTAGCTCCCACTAATCAATTTGAGATGAATTCTGTACCTCTAGAATATCTAAGGAGTATTCTTTACTGCTAGTAACATTTCTACCACCACACCGCCACTCAGTAAGTACCTTCATATCTCTGTTAGTGTCCAAAGTTCAAATTGAACTTGTACAAATTTCTTCCATTTCATTTCTACCACTCGCTACTAAGCATGAGCATAACCTTTCCTTCTTATGGTTTCCCATTATACAAGCCATATAGAACATGACCTTTCATTCTCGGGTATGTCTGATACACCACTCATGGCAAGAGTACATAATATTTAGAGCTCATGGTCATGTTCTATATATTACATGTTGAGGGTTACTGGATATATACACAGGAGGATGTTAGTTGATTAGTAACCGAGGCAAATCATACATGTACGTGTACTATGTGTGTGGGTGTATCAAAGGCACCGCCACTGAGTTTATATAGTGGTGACCACAGGAGGGGTAGTTAGGAGTGTCATTTAACTGCTAATAATGGTAGTTTGACTATAGTGCCTTTCATACACCCACACACTATACATTCGGATATTAGTTGATTAGAAGCCTCAGCTCCACCTCTGCTTCTAATTAACTAATATCCTCCAGTGTATATATCTAGTAGCCTTCAAGGCATGAAGTTAATCTATAATGTATCTATTATCTATTCCTTCCTTATAGTATGTACATGTACATGTACACGTAATCTAATTATTGTGCTATGATTAGATGTAATTAATGTCACACTTCTATGGTTATTGTCCTTTGTGTGATTTGTGTAGTAAATAATGAATTGCTACAAGAAATTTGTGTACAATTAAATGGATCATTTGTATTGAGGGCTTAATTACCTTCTAGCGCTTTATTTGCCGTAAAATTGTAATTGGCGATTTTAATTTGGCGATTTTTTGTTACACATGCGTTACTAAGCATCAGCATTAATGGTTGGCAGTTTTAATATTGGTAATTCCACTTGCAAACTGCCAATCGCCAAAATGTAAATCAACCAAATTAAAGTGCTATACGGTATACTGCACTTTATGTATCAAGTATTATTAATTTACTTTTGTAGCTTATGCTACATGTATACACAGGCATTCACTCGTACATGCATATATTTACATTGCATATATTATTGTTAGTATTTCTGGTGTCTGTGAACATTATAAAATTACCACATCTTGGATTGTTTAAATTAGCTTCATTATATAAATTGATTGTATATTTAAGCATGCAGTAATACTTCTTAATCTTCTTTATTGTTCATTTACAAATCTGGCATGTAGGGAATGGAGAGTGTGTAATAGGATACTACGAATCAGCTAATACCAGTCACATACTACCACTACAACACTGTCATGCTCGGTGTTGCTGTAACGCTACATGGAAAGGTATGATGACAATACTACGTGTACATGTACATGTACATGTACGTGTACATGTACACGTACATGTACATGTACATACAATTTAAATAACGTACATACCTGAGGAGTGAGATATCTGCTTGAGGTGAAGCTGAGGGCAGATATTAAGGGACTGAGGTATTACATTACTTAGACTATTACTCATCCAGACATAGGCTGGAATATCTGTAATATGTAGATGGATGTGCCATTTGAAGTATAATTATTGTAAGCTTTATGTTATTTTAAATATGTATCAATTTAAAATAAAATAAATTTGTATGTATCAAGTATTATTAATGTACTTTTGTAGTACATGTTATACACAGGCATTCACGTGTACATGCAATTTAGCCGTTTATTGACATTGTATACCATATAGTGGTAAATTTTGGAAGAAGTTAAATTTGGCGAATTGCTTAAATTTGGTGGTTGGCGAATTTTAATTTGGCAAACTAGTGGCCATGTGCCATTGAGCATGCGTATAATGGCTCAAAATGGTGGATGTTACTTTGGCGAGTTGCTATCAAAATGCCAAATTCCCCAAATTTATTTCCCTCCAAAACTTCCCGCTATACAATATATTGTTAGCATTTCTGGTGTTTGTTAACATTAAAAATTACCATATCTTGGATTGTTTTCCTTATATGAATTAATTGTATATTTAAACAGTAACACTTCTTAATCTTCTTTATTGTTTATTTACTAATGCAGGGAATGAAGAGTGTGTAATAGGATACTATGAATCAGCTAATGCCAGTCACATACTGCCACTACAACACTGTCATGCTCGGTGTTGCTGTAACGCTACATGGAAAGGTATGACGACAATACTACGTGTACATGTACATGTACGTGTACATACAATTTGAATAACGTACATACCTGAGGACTGAGATATCTGCTTGAGGTGAAGCTGAGGGCAGATATCAAGGGACTCAGGTATTACATTACTTAGACTATTACTCATCCAGACATACATGTACATTGGAATTTCTGTAATACTGTAAAACTACAAATTTTAGCGTGCTACTTATTTTAGCGATATTAGCGAAGAGCCTAACCACGCTAAATTTAATATTCGCTAATAAAACACCCGGTCACGTGATCACAAAATGTCGCTGATACCATAGATACAGTATCTATGCGATACTATACTAGTAGATGGCTCTCTTCTGCTCGGTCAGCAACACTACCAGAGGAAGGAGAACCCAGTGGAATGACAGCAGCAGCTAACAGAAAAGTGGTAAAGGTTTAATGATACGCCAAATTTAATAGTCGCTAATTTGACATTTAAGCATAAACGCTAAATAAAATAGCCGCTAACATTAATAGGTTTACAGTATGTAGATGGTGTCATTTGAAGTATAATTATTGTAAGCTTTATGTTATTTTAAATAGTAGTCCCAAAGTTTACTTAATCATGGCAAGTTTATATTGTTAGCATAAACAAAGACTTGGGGTAATTTTAAATTTATGCTGAAGATTCAAAGTGTTGCCTTATTACAGCAAAAGTATTATGAATATTTTATTTTAGGTAACTACCTACCATACGATAGACACTGTAAGAATGGATCATCTTGTACTTGCAGACGTACTCTTGATGGAAATATAGTGTCTTCTTTTGTTGTGTATTCAGTCGTTTTAATATTTGGTATCATATTTAGTTTAATAATGCAAGCAGTTAATTACAGATGGAGAAACAATAAGTTAGTGATTTATTTATTATTTTCTGTAATTTTTCTTTTCCCTTACATTTTCTATTCCCCTCTTTCCTCTCTTTTGTATGATTACTTATTATTATTATTTTATTTTTATTATTTATAGATATTTTAAAGGCTCCTCTCCACCACTAAACGTTCTCATTACATTCGGTTGTACAGTCGGATACATCAATGGATTGCTATTTCTTGCCAATAATTACATGGGAATGACTGGCAAAGGAAGAATTACTCCAATGTGCTATGTGAGCTCATTATATATCATAATGTAGTTTTAACTAGATAATGCTTTAACTAAATATAATATTTTTAACAATCATATTGTCCTAGTTTTTGACTAGAAGTCAGTAAATAATAAAGTCCATAGCACGCTTATTGGCAATTTTAAATTATCAGAATTAGAATCATTTACTATTAATCCTATACTGCATAAGCATTAAATTTTTTTCTGAGAAATTGTATGATTGCAAGTATAAATTCTCAAATTCATGTATAATAGTATCAAAACCTCAACAATTTCATCCACAATAAAGAGTGACACAAAATTACAAAATTTCTTATTTTTATAATAATTATTAATTTGTTATTAAAGGTAACTATGATATCATCCTGGTTCTCGTTGACGCTCATAAGCTCAACTATTTTATTGAAAAATTGGAGAATATTTAGGATATTTCACAATCGCTCACAAAAAATGATGGTAAAGACAGTATCATAGCTTCTTATATTTAAAAAATTAATAATATCATTTCTTTCTCTTTTAGCGTCACTTATCTAACACGAGTTTGTTCATTAGGATCAGTCTCCTTCATATTCCAGTTATTATCATACTTATTGTTGGATTTGTACGATTTCCTGTTGTAAAAAATGAACTCAAATTCCCTTATCAATGTCCTGGTTTTGTAAGTCAAATTAATACAATACTTAATAGGAAATATTCATGTATTTTTTGTCAGTTGGTTTTTTAATTATTATTTTTTAATTACATTTTGGTCACACATCACTAAATTGTATTACCATATAGCTGGTAATTTTGGAGGGCTACAAACTCCTCAAATTAAGACCTGGAATCATCTAAAATATTTAGCATTTTACCAAAATTTTCCTTCTCTAAAATCATCAGCTACCGTATAGCGGAAAAATTTTTGTGGCCCAAAATTTTCATGAATTTTGCATTTTTTCAAAATCCACAAAAATAAAATCCGTGAAAATCGATTTTATACGGTTCAAGATGGCCGAATTGTAGAAAACCACGAAATTGATTTTTGAACGAATCCAAGAAATTTTTGGGCCACGAAAATTTTCCACTATACAGTATACTGCTAGTGTCCTTTGCTAGTATGTGATGTAATATCTCCATTTTCTGCTTTACTATACTTTTTATTTATTATAGCCTGAGAATGTGGATACTTCAGTCATAGAGGATCAATGTATTGAGAAGATTGGGGCTCGAGACGGTTGGAATTTCTATATCATAATCTACCTCTTCTTCATTTGGACATCAATCATTGTCCTAGGCACCATTAATTGCCACAGCATCTCATCTCATTTCAGCAATGAAGGAGAGCTGGCCTATGTCGTGGGAATGATGTCCATTTTTATATTTAGCATCTATTATTTTATATTGCCTGATTTGCATAATGTACCCAAAAACTTATCAATTGTGAATCAAATGAACCACAGTTTTGGTGTCCCATTTGTCTATTATACTGTTATTCTGAGTGTTCTCTATGGCTCAAAGGTAAGCTCTATTAATGATATACTTATTTTTATGCAGTTCTCATATTTGCAGGCAATTTGGATATTAAGAGATAAGAAGAGTCAACCAAAACTGCTCAGAGAAAAGACTGATCTTGCAACAAAATTTAACAACTTGCATGAAGAAATACTGGCATTAAGATATCAATTGGAAAAGGTTAGCAGTCAAAATTAGTAATATATATATATGCATGTATTTGTATATACCTATGCATGCAATATACTTGTATAATTACAATTTTTCTTTAGGATGATAAAGAATTTTTAATAAGCAGATCAAAATCAAGTTCACCCATATAAGAGCTGGATGACACAGTACTGTGTATAATAAATTATATATTATTTTATTATTTTTAACACCATCATTTCTGTACATTCTTGTACTTTTAAACCATTTTTGTTTCATAAATCTTATTTAAATTGACAGAAATGAATTTAATTACTCATGGGTGGGGCTGGTTTTCAGCAAGCTCAAGCTGCCGTATTAGTTCTAATAAAAGGATATGTTTAAAATGGCGTCGGGAAGCACTGGATTTCGTGCTAAAGTTTTCGACCCTCTCCTCATCATGGCTCAAATTATAGCGCTTCAGGTCTTCTTCTACATGTCCCTAGGTCTATGGATAATCTTTGCTGACGTGATAGCGAAGATAACCCCGTCATTTAGCCAAATATTCAGTTATAAAGTGAGTGAAGTTAGATCCGTCTTGTTATTTTCTTTTGTTTTAACTTTTTAGGAGTTTAAATTTCCTAATAGAGGCTGGTTTGTCATGGGAGCCACAACACTTAACCCATTCACATGGTAAAAATACAAATAAAACTACAGTAGTAATGTACATATACATGTGTACATGTACTATCCCTTCTCAATCATAATTTTAATAGTATCAAATTTTTTGAGTCAGAAGTGTCATCAATTTCTTCAATTTATTAGCGTTTTGTTTGATGAAAATGTCCATGCCTTTCAGCATTTTATAGTACATGTACATGTATATGTATGTAATCTATAGCGGAATGACAGAATTTAAATAACAAATATTAGATAGATGTAAAAGGATTTTTTTTTATTTTTGATTAATGGAAATTTGATGGTTAAATGTATGCATTGATTTCATTATTATTCTGTTGCCAGTCATTATGAGGTAAGTTTTCATTACTAGTGACTGTTGAGCAATAATGATATATTAATCAAACTCACTAACACGTGTTAATCAAGATCAGTGATCACTGATTCAGGAATCAGTGAATCTGAAATACTATCATAATTGTATCATTTTGTGTGGTGAGGAGCTTCATCGGCTAACAGTACTAAGAAATGTAACTGATTAGTAGTTAGAGCTCATACAACTTCTATTAATGTACTATGATTGTGGGCTTTATTTTTCATATTTTTTTAATTCTATAATTTTGTTTTTATTTTAGTGCTTTATTCTTATGGTGGCTTGTAGGAAGAGCAAAGCAAGTGAGTTTGTATGCCAGTTTTCATTTCATTTTCTGATACATATTGATGACCTTATGCTATGTAGAAAGTTTGAGCTGATTCCGACTTCAATTTTCCAAGTTACGACCATTTTTAAGAGAATGCCAAAATTTAGAAAAATACCCAAGGCTATAGCCCATGGTTTTTTCCAAAAAATGGCTCAAAAATTACCCCAAATTTTTATTACATTTTTGATACATATTGATGTCCTTATGCTGTGTAGAAAGTTTGAGCTGATTCAGACTTCAATTTTTTGAGTTATATAGCCGTTTTTTTTTAAATGGCCAATTTTTGAAAAATACCCAAGGCTATAGCCCATGGTTTTTTCCAAAAAATGGCTCCGAAATCACCCAAAATTTTTGTTACATTTTCTGATACATATTGATGTCCTTATGCTATGTAGAAAGTTTGAGGTGATTCTGACTGAAATTTTTTGAGTTATGGTCGTTTTTTAAAAATGGCCAATTTTTGAAAAATACCCAAGGCTATATAGCCCATGGTTTTTTCCAAAAAATGGCTCCGAAATCACCCCAAATTTTTATTACATTTTCTGATACATGTTGATGTCCTTATGCTATGTAGAAAGTTTGAGGTGATTCCGACTTCAATTTTTCAAGTTATGGCCAGTTATTAAAAATGGCCGATTTCTAAAAAGTACCCAAGGCTATAGCCCATGATTTTTTCCAAAAAATGACTCTGAAATCACCCCAAATTTTTATTACACTTTCTGATACATATTGATGTCCTTATGCTGTGTAGAAAGTTTAAGCTGATTCCAACTTCAATTTTTCAAGTTATGGCCATTTTTGAATAGTAGCACCTCCCCATAATACATATGTATATGTACTTGTATAGACTAGCTCAGAAATCACTCTTTCTCTCTCCCTTTCTCCTGTCCATTAGTGTCTTGATTTCTCAGCGACTGTCTACTTTATTCATTTCATTTTCTGCTGCTGTTTTGGTGGTTTCCCCCTCTCCCTCGCCTGGTGGCTGACAAACATAGTCTCTCTCACCATAATGACTGTTATCAGCGAATGGTTGTCCTGGAGATCAGACATGAGAGCTATTACTATAACCGGTGGAACGGCAGGTGGTAATAATAATAATAATAGTAGGACTTCAATATTACCGACCTAATAATCTTTATTATTATTAATATCATTAAATGTTATTCTTCATTTGTTTTATTGGATGTATTATAATCACCCATTGTTTTTATGTTTTTCATAATTATTTTTGAATTGGATAAGGTTTCTTTCAGGATTTTGTCCAGAGGAGACAAATTGAATTGACATCATACAGTATTAGATCTATATGTAATTTTGTACATGGCTCTAAATTCAAGTAACACTAGTCAAATAAACCAAAGGCAAGGGAGAAGAATGCCCACTCATCAAACTATGAATAAAATGCTTACATGTAAATGTATGGACAAAAATGCCAATAGACTAACTAACTGTCATAATTAATTCAGCCACGCCTTTGCTTTTTGCTGAATGGATACACTATTCGTGTTTTGCTTGTAAATGCTGAAAAGAGATCGTTACTTCATCTTCTCCTCTCT